GAGAGAGAGAGAGAGAGAGAGAGAGAGAGAGAGAGAGAGAGAAAGAGCCTGTATTCAGCAAAAAACAGCAGAAATTCAGAACATAAATGAAGTTAAGGTGTGCATTCAATTAATTAACAGTCTTTATTTGCTACCGGTTGAGACAAACGGCAGCATTTTGGCTATTTACACCCGGCCAAGTAGAATATGCTGCTTTATTTAGCTTTACAAGATAGTTAACGAGCTAGAAAGCCATTTCTGGCAGAACATTTAGTCCACTTCTTCTATTCAGTCTGTGGTTGTAAATGGATGAAAGAGCAGCAGATTAGATCTGAGATCAGAGGAGGAGAGGAGTCGATGTCAGGATGGACGGACGAGTTCTTCGGCACTGAATGAAATGTATTTATTCATCTTTATGTTAAATAGTACGAATCACCCAAAGCTGCACTTTGCAAAGAAGCTCAAACATGCATTAAAGAACGTGCTCCCTGCACGTTGCCTCTCAGGTGACACTCTGCTCACTATGTAAGCAGCTGTGAGCATGAATTTCAATGCAGTCAAAGCCAATCAAGAGCAGAGGAGCCGAGCGGTGACCTGCTGGAGGCAGAGAGCACCGTTCAGGTCCGGTAGGGTCAGATCATTAACGGAGACGTCAAAGGGCCTCACATGACAGCTGACCTCACCGCCGGCCTTCTACACGTGTAGAGAGGGCTGGTGGATCAGTGACCGATCCTCCTTATTTGAGGAGGAATTAAAGATGTCACTTAAAGCTTCTGAAGAGAGGGCAACTAAAAAAGGAAACCTTCAGGATATTGGACCTCGATCAAGAACATCGGTGCATTTCTCTTGAGGTCAAACCTAAACCAAAAGATGTGAGAAGAGGTCAGGATGTGAAGGCGCTCACCTGGTCGAGGAAGCTCAGCTCCACTTGCTGAAAGGTGAAATCCAAGAGAACCAACCTATACTGACTCCACCTCCAGCTCACCTGCAGCCCCTGGTGTGTGTGTGTGTGTGTGTGTGTGTGTGTGTCTGCGCGTGTGAGATTGCAGGAGTGGAGACAGGTGTGTGAGAGTCAGGCAACCAGCTGTCATTTATTTATTCCTCATTAACTTATTCAGTGAAAGTTTTAAATATTTTAAATTAATTAAAAACCATTTTAGAGTTGAGAGAGTTAAGTGGACTGTTTTCCTGCCTGATTAACCTGAATAAATAAAGATTATAATAGAAAACATCATGAAATAAACATGAATCAGACCTCAGTCACATGAAAACAACATCTCTTCCCGTCACTCTCCTCATCGCTCCGTTAGCTCCGATGATCCTCAAACGGTTTAATCGTCTTAAAGTGTTCCATGTGACCAGAGTAACCAGCTGCCCAAAGATTTATGTTGAGTGCTTGATGAGTCATCAAACATTTGAAACCATTTCACAGAGGAAGAAAATACTTTTTAATGTGGATTTGATGTGAAAACTATACATATATTTAGCATAAAACAAGAGATAAACGATTAAAACAGGGAAAAGGTTTTTAGCTGTGATTTTAACATCAAAATATGTTAATTATCAGAGAGTTATGTGTGTTTATATACGTATCTACATGTGTGTGCTGCATCCATCCAGCACTGAAATCATCAGCGTGTGATTTGTGGTTCTGCTCACAGGAAGCCATACCGGGCTTCTTCTAAAGGAGCGATCAGCCTCTTAAACAGAAAACATACACATCATTCTCCGCTCAGCTCGGCTCTTTCAGACTTTCCACTGATGTGAAATAAGAATCCTTTCAGCGGAGGGAAGCTCTCCTTCTGTCTCTGCTCTTAGTGGAAGCTGCTGCTGCTCTCCAGACTTCAACATGTTTCAGCTCAACAGTGTCAAGGTACCAGAAGGAGCAACGCCCAGTTGTTCATACGGCGCTTCACTAAGAGCTGGAGGGGAAACGTGATCGTGTTCACGCAGGTCTGTGTGGAGGTCTGAGATTTTATATAAATATACATATATTTCTATATAAATGATAATAAAAAAAAGAGAAAACCCAGATTGAAGTTGGTTGAAAAGGTTTCATGAAATAGTTTTTGACTACATTTGAATGTTTCACCTACAGCTGAAGGTCAATTATAGGACGTATCTCCCAGCAGGAGAGGACTTTACCTTCTAATACTAAAGCTGCCACTGCCGGCTTCACCATATTACGACCATTACCATAGTATATAGTATATATCTAAGCTTTGCAGCTGGATACATGATGAAAATGTGACTGTCATGGCACATAAACAGACAAACTGGGTCTGTGTTTTCTTTTTTCCGGCCTAAAACTGAAGGTGAGCTGGGAACTACTCGTCATCTGTGAAGAAGAAGAAACGTGAAGTCGTGACAGTAAATAAACCTCAGATGGTATCTATTCACCCTGTGGGACATTTTCACCAAAGTAAATGTTAAATGCAGGCGTGCATATAATCTAATATAATCTAATATAATCTAAAATGCATAGTAGCTGTACGTCAGAGAGTCCTCTGCTTCCCACTTGGGTTTATGAAACTCCATCTGAGCGTGTGAGCTTTAAGGAGGAAAATTAACCCCAACGGACCTTCTTCTTCTCTCCTTCCCAAAGCAACCAGCCTCCCTCTGCTTTGTATCAATTAGGCAGCAGACAGGATTACTCACACTTCTTGTGCCAACCGAGCAGATGTGAAAGCAGCTCAGCCTCAGAGCTCCAAGGTCTCTTATTTGGCTTGAATCTAAATTCTGCAGACTTAAAGGCTCACAAACCGACATCACATAGTTTCCCCCTGCTATGGTTAGCTTATGTTATTGTTGACGGCAATACACATACACATGAATGTCTTAATATTTACACAAATAATGGAAAAATCTCAACCAGAAAAGTCAGAATGGTGGTGAAATAAATAACAAGTCTGTTAAAGCGTAAGAATAATTGGAAAAACTGAAGTCGGCAACAAGTTGTAGAAACCATTTAACTCACGACGGCCTTCCTCCAGTCTATTAACCCCGGAGATATTCGGCCACAGCCACAAGAGCGTCTTCATGCATTTATCCGTCTGCATTAGGACGGGTAACAAATAACTTATTTTACTTTTTTTTTTTTTTTTTTAAATCAATCAGACGTTTAATTTAGTTTCTCTGCCCTGTCTGTCCTCTTTCCGTGTGAAGCTATGAGGAGATTCAAGAAGTCACTGAAGAAAGGAGCAAGTGATTTCTTTCTTACAGTCGTCAAACATAACACCTCAAAATGTTTCTTTAAAGGTGCTAAAGCTGTTTGTATTTGTAGTTGACGTGAGAATGTTGTCATGTGACGCAACTTCCATATCAATATAAGTTATGAAACTTATATTTTAACCCAAATTATGATCATTTATTTAACTCTAAATCGTCTTGTTGACCTGTCAATCACCGTGTAGCCCCGCCCTAAAGCATCCCCTGCTTTATGGTCTGTTTGACTCTAAATGGACCATAATGTACTAAATGAACATCATGCTGTATTGAAGAAGACTTGAAACTGGAGATTGAGACCATAAACTCATGTTTACAATGTTTACTGAGGTAATAAATCAAGAGAGAAGTAGAGTCATTTTCTCATAGACTTCTATACAACCAGAGGAGTCGCCCCCTGGTGGACACTAGAGAGAATGCAGCTTAAAGACACTTCTGCATCATCATATGATAGTCATAATCATAATCTGACATAAAAACACTGCTGTTGTCCACACGGGGCACCAAAATCAACACACGACAGTAGCTTTAAGAAAACAAAAAGTTTTTAGCAGCAACCAAAGAAAAAAAGACAGGAAAGCACACTAGGATATTTTTGAATGTTATTTATTCATGAAGGAATTAAAAGAGATAACCCTTAAAATGTCAATTTAGCACTCTTTCATTTCTTAATTGATCAAATCTCAAACATCTGTAGAGTGCAGCTTTTTAAACCGTTGGCCTCGGAGAACTCGAGTTCGGCATTTGCTCGAAAAAAAATGAATAATGAATTAATCAAGTTTTCCTCTGTAAATGAAGACGAGCAAAGTGAAATTAGTCTTCTTTGGGTAGCTGCACATCTTCATCATCATCCTCATAAAGTGTCCAGTGGAGAAAATCTCAAACTATTTTCTATATATACACACAGACACACATACATATATAAGGAAATAGGAGAAAAATGGGTAAATAAAATGAGATTTAACATCGCGTGTGTGTGGACATCTACAACAAATGGATATATTCACAAAAGCGATTTCCGCTGTGATTTAAATCAGCAGCGTCACACACGAGGCTCACAGCTGAGCTTAGAAACAAGCCGTCAGTATGCGGCCACACAAACACTGAAGACGCACAACAGTGCAGAAGCTTTACGACCAACCGATAGCACGGGTTGACTCGTGTCTGACGCAGGTTTGATTTATGAGTTAATACCTATGGCTTGTAATTAAAACGCATGATTTATATTAAATACATATTATATTACAAGCAGAGCCTCTCTGGAATTAAACCAACAGAACATGTTCAGGGTTTAGCCGTGTGTCTTAAGAATGCATAATGTTGAAAAAATAAAACTATAAAAAAAATAAAAGTACCCGAACCTGTAATGTTTGTTGTATACATCAAAACATAGAAAAAATGAGTTGGATCAAAAAAAGAAGTTTTACAGACAAGAAAAAAAAAAAAAAAAAGTGTTCCACAGAAGAGCTCCTACAGAAAAACAGTACAACTACGTTTCTGATATATTTATTAGTTTTGTTGAGAAAAGGTGATTTTTGTTCTGGGGTTGAGCATCAGTGAGATTTATTAATCTGGGTTTTTAATAAAATCCTGGTTTCGTGTTTGTGCAAAAATGGCAACCGAAATATGTCGACGGTAAAAAACAAAAAGGAAAATAAAAAGCTTTTAAAAATCTAATATACAGTAAAATATAAATATTAATCTCGTCATGAACAAGTTCGATGTCGTCTATTTTCCCTTTGAGTTTTTCTTGAGCCAGATGTTCCAGCGTTTTGTGATTTTTGGGGTTTTGTGAGGACGACGACGACAACAGAAACACTGCACTGATCCTCGCTTTGTGAAGTAATCGTGTTGCTTTTATGTACATCAAGAATCATTTTCTCCAGTATCTCATGAGTACAACATCCTACTTCTTCCTTTAATAAGTGTGATTTACTTCCACACTTTAGTTATATTGTAAACACTCTGCATGGACACGTGTCAGGATGACAGCCCTGGGAGGAAAGTGAGGAAAAAGAATCTGGTGATTCGTTTACCAAGTCTGATCTAAATCATTTTATCTCCTGTGTTTACTGCTAAAGAAGAGGTGACAACAAAATAAATCATATATCAATATAATGTTCGGTGATTGTTTTCTTTAAGTTTATTTATAACTGTTGTAATACTCATTTCGGCCACAAGAGGCTGAAGTTCACCACCAGCAGCGTGTTCTAGGACTGAGAGCATTCATGTTTTCTCTAACGGCAGATTAGGAAGGACAGACACAACACTAACGTTACGTACCTTGTGTTTAAAGTGCATGGAGAAATGAGAACAATAATAAGGAACACAGATTTAAAAACAGAAAATTAATCACCAGAACGTTTGGTTTTCCTCATTTGGCTCTCTGGGGCTTCCATACTTCCAATTCCTAATTGAAGCCGTGTCCAATAAAAAGAAAAAACATTTTGATACTCAACCCTTTCATTGTTCTACGTTTGGTTAAGTTACCGTTACTTGATTTAAAGTCTGTGTGTCGTCAAAGAAGTGCTGAATAAGGCATAAATCAAAGTGCGACAAAACTAATCCGATTTTCCTCTAAAGGAGGAGTGTGATGGTCTAAAAGCTCTAATTGAGAAGCAGTTTGGGAAACCAGTCCACTTAATATCAGCATGTGTGCCAATTTGCTCAAAACATCACTATATTTAGCTTTTAAATGAAAACTAAACTCTAAAACCGCTCCTAAAAATCTCTTGAAGCTACCTGAAGGAATGATCTGTCTCATGAGATTACGCTAAATATCCTGGACCTGATGGAGAGTGACGTAACCGGCAGTTGGCGTGTCATGATTAAGACGGGACACAGTAGTGAAGTAGTGAAACATGATGACACACCACGAGTCCTCACAGGTTTATACTGCTCAAACATTAAATAAAAATGGTTTCTAAATGGCCTGGGTGTGTTTATTCCACCACTAACAGTCACTTCCTGTCATCACTGGACCCTGAAGGAGGAGGTGAGCATCTCTACGTGTTTCAGAGCGTTGCGGGCGATGATCTGCTCGATGGCGATGTACGTCCCAGCGAGGAAGCCGATGAGCCCGATCAGGCTGATCATGACATTCTTGACGGCCACTGGCGGAGACAGCGTGCCCTCCGTGTGGAAAGTCAGAAGCTGAAGGATGGGCGGGAAGATCAGCGCCAGGAAGCTGCTGCTGACCGAGCCGACCAGCGAGATGACGAGGTCCAGCTCCGGGATCAGGACGGCGAGGGCGCCTGGAGGAGGACGAGCAGAGAGACGTTTGTGAAAGGACTGGCTGTATGAGTTTCTAAACTTAAAGTTGTATGAAGAACCTTCAATGATAAACGTGAATATTCAAACTTTCTTCCCAAGTGTTCACCATACACACCTCGATCAAATCAAAATGAAACATTCAAAACAAGCAACAATTCAATCAGATCAAACCATAAACAATATTTGCCTGTTTGCTGCAGCAGAATGCGAGATTAGCCGAGGACAGACACAGAGGTGCACACTCACTCACTCACACTGTCAGACACACACAACCGAAAACATGACCTCCCATCATCTCATATCCGTTAAAATAAACGTGTTTTATGTTATATATTATTTCTTGTCCTCACTACAGTTGTCCTATAAATTAACTCATTTGACTCTAATAATATAATATTTTGCATTAGTCCTCAATAACAACGAGCAACGAGCATCGAGCATCTTCTCTGATGTACAGAAGATTATGTGCAACAAAAAATAAAAAAAGAGAAGAGAAGGGAGAAGACGACAGATTGAGACGGAGAGGACAGAGGACGCTGTGAGACAACAAAGGTGTGATTGAGCAGATTGTTTTTTTTTTTTTCACGCATCAGTGGTCTCGGTCACCGGGGAGCTGAGTCATCTTCATCCATTGCTGCAGAGACGGGAACAAACGGTGACGGGGCTCGGATGAAAATGAAAATGACGCCCGCGCTGCAATGTCCCGACCGAGGTGTCGGTGACCTGGATGGACACACACCACACACTCCATCTCGTCTGTTAGCATCTCCTCCGGAGCGAGAGGTGAGGACACGTCGGGATGTTCTCGCTGATGAAAAGACTCATAATCAATCGCTCGCTGCTGCATGTTCACAGTCTGTCAAATTAGCCTCTGGGGGGCGACGGCAAGGTCGAGCTTTCATGTGACGAGTTTACACGGGGGGGAGAGAGAGAAAGAGAGAGCGAACCGGTCACTTCCCCATCTCCTGGTGATGGCTGCTCTTCAAACTGCATGTGAAACTTTTTGATGTGAAGCCAACAAACTCGGCCGGCTCTGATTTGGTCGTACAGAAACATAAGAGACGATACCAACTCTGGGGCTGAGACCCCTTCAGAGGACAACAAAGACGTCGGAGAAAGACGATGCAATGATGTTGCTACAGGCATGGTGACCTCGTCAACAATGCACCTTTAATTTCTGGCCATCGCATCTGCAGATTCTTTGTGAAGACGAGGGACCCAGCTAGGCCACAGCTTTATTACTACATCGTAGTAAAAGCAAAGAAGAACGATGAGTCTACAACTCCTACATATAAATATGTTCAAACAGCATCTTAATGGCTGTTTTTCAATGTGAATCTGCTCTTCATTTAGAAACAGTCACTCAAAACAACAGTAACAGATCTTAGGTGGTTGGGGTACTAGGACGGTGGCTGGATGTTAAACGGTGCAGAAAGGTGTTGAAATAACTACAAGAACTTGTTCCCCGGAGGTTGTCTGACTGTTTATCTGCAAACTCTGAGCCTTGAACTTCACACCCACCAGCATCAACAGAGAAACTGGGCAGGCCAGCTCAAATGAGCAGCCGCAAGACGAAAATAAAAAGGACAGACTCAGAGGGAAGGAGGGATGGTGGGGGTCCGGCTGAATTTATACGGTCAGCAGGCAGTTTCTTGATTGAGCCCACCGACTTTTAAATTCCACTGAGGGAGGAAAGATGGAGTCAATTACCTCCAGAGCCACGAGCGATAGTCAGCGGGAGGGGACGCTCCGTCTGGGGTTGGATCAAAGATTGGTAGAGAGGGTCTTAGCTCTCTTTTCTCCACAGTCGATCAGGACGAACTAGACGCCGTCCCACCATCTCATTTCTTCACCTCACGACCAGAAATCACCAAGCGGGAGCCGACTTTCATCTGGCACGACCGGGTCTGGCTGACCTGCAGCTCAGCGGACTGTAGCTCATTAAAAGATGGAGGTGAGGCTGCTTTCACTGGCAACCGACAGGAAGTGAACAGTCGAGGTCTGCGGATGCTAATGTTAATTATCCAGGAGTGGATCTACTCAGCATGGAGGCAGCAGCTACGTTACGCTCCGCTGACACTCCACAGATCATCAATAAAAATAAAAAGAAGTTTCAGACGACATGCCTCAACTGATACCAACACGATGAGAGTTGTTCTGAGGAGTCTATAAATCTATAAACCATCATGTTCCAAAGAAGACAAAAGTTAGAAAACTCTTAAACATGCTGTTATGCAATTTTCTATTTCAGCAGCAGCGTCCATCATTTAACTAACCAGCAGTGACCCCGAAAGGATCATTAAACTGGCATCAAACACACCTCGTCTGTCCGAATACGTAACCCCCGGCTCACCTCCCGCTCTCACACCGCTCCATCACCCCGACGAGTCAGCAACAAGAAGTCTTCTACAAACCAACAGACTCTCTGGATGAATCACGTCACACTGCTGCTCTACGCACCGGTGGACGTCAGAGAGGAATTTAACTATTAGAGCTGATTTAATGGTGACATCAGCGTGATTTACACAGCAGGTCCTACCTGTTCTAGTGCTAATAGACAACCTTAAGCTGATCATTTCAGTCTCAACATTCTCTCGTCATAGCTTGACAAACGTGAGAATTTGCTTATTTCCTCACTTAAACTTGTAAATCTTTGGGTTTTAACGAGACATCTGAAGACATCACTATAGGTTTATGAAGTTGCGATCGACAGGCTACCGTAATACGGCGTTGACACGTTGACAACTGTTTGACCGATTGGTGTGAACTGTGAAGTGAAGTGTAATTTTACGTACCTTCATTTTCAGATCCATCCTTTGTATTAACAGCGAGCCAGCATATCATCATGACTCCAGCACCAAATAGAAATCACGTTCACTTGATTAAATAAACATTTGTGGGCCTGAGGAGCAAATATCTAGCGGGAGCTCGTAGAAAAGTACAAACATGTCCTTCCTTTGAAATTACAAATTAGAGTAATTAGATAAAGTTAGAGGGGGGGGGGGGGATGTTCCTTCTAGATCCTCTACCAATGACTAGAACTTCTAAAGGAAACTAAATAGATTATTTCAGGCCTTGGGACACTTTGCAAGAGTCGTCCTTTGGTCAAGTGGAAACGGGATGTACACTCATCACAGGAACCAATTCAATTAATCGTATCTCATGGTTGTTTGAAATTACAACAAATACAAGGTAGCGGGAGCCGTCATTACATCCTTTCCCTACGAGCGGTCTGAGTTTGAATGAATTTAATCAGGAGGTGACAGTCTGCTGGAGGGAATGCAATCAATTCGGACTGTGATGATTATTTATTTAATTTTTATTTAACCTTTATTGAACCAGCAAAGCCTCAGTGAGGTTACAAAGAAGGGGCAGACACCACAAAGTGGTGGTTTGATGTTTGTTTGTGATAAACAAAAGTTCAGATCTGAAAGAAGCAGCAGTAAAAGTAACACTGACCTACTGAATCTCTGTGGCTCAGAGCTCCAACATGTTAACGTAGAGAAAACTATTTCTGCCTTTGCCATTATAGGTTTCACCTTCATCAGCCACTGAGGAACATCTTAGAGAAATGATCGACAGAAAACAACTCAAGGTGCTTTGAAATACTTCAGATTTCAAAGCAGAAGCACATTTTTTGCAGGCAATCATTTGTGTCTTTGAGGTCTCAAGTTTCAGGCTTTTATGCCCTTTAAGATCAAACATTTGTAAATAGCAAAACAAAATTAATAATACTCTTTTTGGTAATTTCTTTTGTGTGACAAAAATATACTTAAATTTGCCATAGTGTCAATTACGGTTTAATGATCTTCGAAACCATCTTTTCAGAGACACGTAAGGGTTTTTCAGTACAATTCAAAATCACAAAAACCTTGTTGTATAAATCATCTTCGTGCCTCGAGTGTGTTTAGAGATTTCCGGTTGCCTTTGCATTCAATATCAACAACTGATGGTTGTGCCAAGAAAGTGCAAACATCGTCAAAAAGGCCCTCAAAGCAGAAAGACCTAAACTGATTTTAACATTAAGCTTAAAGCACTTCTCGGAATACTACAATGAAAATAATGAGAAAAAGACCCCAGCACTGTGGGGTAAAGAAGCTCCCAGAGGACTCTTAACTTTATCTCCTCACCAAACAAGGCTGAGGATGAAACAGCAACAGGATCAGAGAGAGACTGCAGTCCTTTCCTGGCGTGACACCACACTGACCCGTGGATATTTAAAGAGGCCTCGGGGTGATGCTCCGGGCATTGGAGGGGGTCTCCGTGCAAGAGAAGCTTTAATGACAACAGAACTTTTTCGACCTGTACGTCCTGCGCTGGGAACATTACTTTTTGTCCTATTCTATGTCAAAAGACACACTTAGAACACAAGTTGTGGTTGTCAGAGATTAACGAGGATGAAGACAATTGTTTAAGAGTCACCGAGGGTGGTGATGTTTTCTCTAAATAGTTTGATCGGTGGTCTCTGTAAAAGGCCGATCAGATGACGAAAAACAGGTTAGAAGATTCTTCTATGTGGCTTAATGGCTTCACTAGAGTCCTGAGTTGTGTCTCTCAAACATAGACTGTATATAAGAAGTGGACGTAGTCATCGTGACATCCCCCCCATGGCTTTGAGGACTGCCGTTATGAAGCCTAGAGTTCGGCCATTTCGCCGTCGCCATCTTGGAATACGACCGATGAACGGAAGTGACCATATTTGGAATGGGAGAAAGTATCTGCAGCTTGGTTTCAAAGGAACCAGAGGAGTGGCGGCTGACATCCATAATTACATACGAGTGTAACGTAAGTTTATTGCAATAAATTTTAAACGGAAGGGAAAATATAATTTTGTAGTCCAACAGGGGGCTTCAACTGCTTCTCTCTCTCCATTCATATGATTTATTGTTTATATTTTTGCATTTCTCAAGTTACCTACAATACGTTCATCACATCTAATGTTTGATTCACTGCTGCTAACAGACACAAGGTAATTCAGATGAGCTGAACGGCGCAGAGAGCGGAGGCCAAACTACACAAGTCAATTAGCTCAAATAGAAGTAAAAGGTGAACATATGTTTTCTGAAAGGGTAAAAACATGGCGGCACTAGAGCAACATGCAGCATGCATTCCCAGTGGCACGTCACCTTTGTGCCACAGTGCTGCTGGAGGAAGAACAGAAATAAAAGAAGAAGAAGAAGAAGGAGACGAGGAGGAGGCTCACACAACGTCCTCTCTTGTTCCCATCAACGGCTCTAACAACACACACTGGCTGCTCAGCTCAAGCTTGTGAAAAAGTGACTCAGACAAAAGAAGCAAACACAGGCAGGAAAAATAAAAGCTTCATGGCTTCTCAGCAAGTATGGATGTATGCGTGAATACAAGTTGTGTATTTAAAGCTCCTTTAAAAAGGAGTTATTGTGGAAAGCAAGAATTGGAATCGAATCGCACACGTATCGGCTTTAACAACGCTGGCTCATCTGGATAAGGGAGTCACAGCTGGTGACCAAAACAGTGAACCATCTATTAGCTGAAGAGCCAGACATTTTCCTCACAAGCGTGTTGTGTTGGTCTGCACCCTAGTGGCCAAAATAACGGATTAATGCAGCTTTAAAAGACGGGACAGAGGCCAAGTGTTCGCTATCGATCACAACCGGATGACGTAGCTCAACAAGGCTTGTTCCTTTGAGGTGGTTTTGGAAGTCCTCCATCTTCTTCTGTTGGTTAACAATCACTTAATGCAGATTTACCAGTTTGACATTAAGAACGCCCACTTGAGATTTATTACCGGATGAAACGCCAATCCAAGTCCTCTGCCTTGGAGGCAATCCTTTTTCAAACCGCGTGACATAATGGTATCAAGGCTCATACAGCGGCAAGAAAACAGGCAAAGCCACACGGCATCCCTACAGCCATCACTCAGAGGCCTTTTGATCCAGAACAGCAGCAGCAGCAAGCTCCTTCAACCCTCAGCCTCTCGCTGCTAAATTAGAATAGAGAGAGAGAGCTCACTTCAAAAGAAATCTCACTGCAATGAAATGTCCTGAACTTAAAAGCAGAGCACAAGTCACAGCTCAGCAGAGAGAAAGAGCGAGGAGAGAAGGAGAGAGAAGGAGAGAGAAGGAGAGACCGAGAGAGAGAGTTTACTCAGGGCGTTCTTCTCTTTTAGCTCTTATCTGACTGCAAATCAAGAGAAACTTAATACATTTTTTCACCATCAGTCACTCAGAAGGCAGATTTACCACCGAGATGATTTGTTGGCTTAATCTCACATTAAGCTAAGACATTTGAAAATGTCAACGATGCATGGAGTAAACAAGCATGTCAATGAGACAAAATGATTCCTCATGCTGAAGATGTTGCCTCTCTTTAGAGGAGGTAACAACTTTTCAAGATGAGACATCCTTCAGGCTTCTAAACACTCACGTCGCTCACGTCATTAGTGTCTGAGTTGAAGTGTCTGTGATATGCTGTTAAGACATTAAAATATCTCTTTGCAACATTTAGAAGAAGCTTAAAGAGAATGATGCACCGGCTCTGTGTAACGTTCAGGGGTCACCTGTCAATCACCGTGTAGCCCCGTCCTAAAGCATCCCCTGCTTTATGGTCTGTGTGACTCTAAATGGACCATAATGTACTAAATGAACATCATGCTGTATTGAAGAAGACTTGAAACTAGAGATTGAGACCATAAACTCATGTTTACAATGTTTACTGAGGTAATAAATCAAGAGAGAAGTAGAGTAATTTTCTCATAGACTTCTATACAACCAGAGGAGTCGCCCCCTGGTGGACACTAGAGAGAATGCAGCTTTAACACATGAAGCATCGGCTTCACTCAGGAGAACTGGAGGTTGCCGCCTGGTTGCAACGCAGACCGACAGAAACAAAGTCACAATATTTAAATAAATACGGTAGCAGTATTGTAAAGAGGACAAAGCTTCTCCCTCCGGACGGTAAAGAACAAACATCTGCTGTTGATTCAAAGACGATCTACTCCACACACACAGAGACGATGCTCTGCTTCGGTCTCATCTTGTATTCGATTCAAAACCAAAAAAGCAATATCGAAGATGTTTATGTTTATTACTTGTTCCTGCACCATCTCCACACACACACACACACACACACACACACACACACACACACACACACACACACGCTCTCAATTAAACCACGAGCTGCTTTGCATATGACCTGCGGACATGATATGGCACATGCATGCATGCATTACCTTTTATCATCTCATAAACATGCATGTGCAGAAACCTGTACCGCGTAGAGTTTGCATAATGTTCTACAGGCTCCAATCACAGCTAATGAATGTAATTAAGATCCCGAAGCTAACAAGCGATGCCTGCTGTTCCATAACTCAATGAAGTCTGATGGGACTGCTTGACATGTTTTATTATATAACATGAAGCACTGGATTAACCCAACTGTACACACACAGACCTGCTATTAGAAAGCATCAGTGACGTCTCTCTAAATGAGTCCAATAAAAGGTATAAGATATGCATCTCTGCCTCTGCAGAGCATCTTATTCTCTGCTCCATTTCCTACTCCGCATACACACAATGCTGTTCAACGAAGCATACTTAATAATACAAAGGTCTTAAGTAGTCCCTGGTGCTGAGAAACCAGCATCCCTATCAGACTCGACTGTAGATCGTCACATTTATCTGCTTTATGATGAAACCTTCACATCTCTCATCGTTTAACGGAGGCTTTGCAGACACACAACACCTACAGAAGAAGTAGTGGTAATAATAGAGGTTACATACTGCACTATACCAACACGACTACTACTGACGCATATGCATTTAAAGAAAGAAGATACATGTGTGTATGTTGGAATTTACGCATGATTTCTATCTCCTACCGGACATCAAAATGGCAAAAGAATCCACAGTACCAGTGCGCTGCACTGTGGACGGACGCCTGCAGAGATTTAGTCTGGTTGTTAACTCACATGTGAAGATGACCAACACGGTGCGGAGCAGCAGGTTGACGGGCGTCTGCCACCTCTCAGACACGCGGGCCAACACCGGAGGAATGAGGATCTCTGCAGGAACGTAGAACTGAAGGGCAAAGGTGATGAAAATACCAAAACAGTAGAGCAGCTTCACCGCCTGGTACGTCCTGGAGAGAGAGGAAAGAAAGAGAGAGAGAGGAGACTTAACCGCTGTGCATTACTCAGTTCCTATAATATGTGAATAAACATGAAAAATGTCTCCGAAAAAACCCTCAAGTTCTGATCCCACGGCCAAAATCATGCATTCTATTACATCAGGCTTTTATTCTAGATGAATTTAATCTCCACCAGATTAAAACCATTGTCTCAGGTTTGACCTGTGGGGGTAAACTCATTTACTGGTTTGCACCAGAAGCATTGCTGCTGTATAACTGAGGAATACATTATTTGATGCAATGCATCATTATGCATGCTGTTGCCAATCATTGACATATCACACACTGTTTAAAAATAGGTTTTTAGTATACAGAAGATGATTAGACTTTTGTGTTTTCACTCTGTATATAATATGTAAACAAACTGACATTTAAATGGTTACAAAAGAGGACAACTTTTAAAAGAAGACATATCTATTAAACGTGGCTTTTATACCCAAGGTGAATTTTAGTTATCTTAACATTTTATTGTTTCTTCTTTTGTATATTAAAATATCATTTGATGGCAGTATGTTGATCCTCTAAGGACATCAGAGCACAAGAGTTAAACATGTGAAATGTTGCACCTAAAAACAACATTGAATCATATTTAAATGTGTTTGTTACACTGAAATGCTGCTGATCAAAAACCTTTCATGAAATATAAAACAAATCAACACAAATTTTCATGTCCAACATCGAAAAAACCCATTAGAGACATTCATCGGTCGTCCCTGTAAACAGTAAACAGTCAATTAAAATAAAGTGCTGGTAATTTCAACCTTATTGAAAAGCCAATCTACTCCACTGATCAGTGGCATCGGTCCAGTTACGGGAGGCATTTTAAAAAAAGACGTGCGTCTCCTGTCGTAATGAGGAGACGAGGAGAAGATGAGCGCCGTTAGTCATCATCTACGAGCCCGAAGACCCACACCACAGACAGACGTCAGCTCAGTGCGTTCTCTCTGAGGACGTGAGGATTATTCTCCTAACCTGCTCTATATGGAACGTCTGTAGGTTCATGATTAGCTCTGTGTGTGCACGGACGACTCCACCAACTAACGGGGTAATGATCCAAAGGGGTTGAATCGGCATCGTACAATTGCACTATGATTTAGTCTCACTATTGAAAAGAGCTGGTCTCCATGGACTGTGGTAGATCTGCTGAACACCTGGGACCTGTTTGCTGGAGGTGACGGGGTTCTTTTCCATTTACAAAAGGACCAAAGACAGTTTGCTGAGATGCAAAATGCAAATGAGGCATTATCTAACGGTAACTTTTGGTACATTTAGTGAAACAAACTCTCTTAAATGTATATCTATTTGTAATCCAGGGAGTGTTGATGTCTCACCAGCAGTTTGGCAGGTTGAGAGTGATGCTCCCTCCTATGTGCTCTCCAAAGCACATGTACCCGATGGTGCCCAGGCTGATGTAGAGGAAGGTGACGATGCCCATCCCCAGATACAGGACCGGGAGGAACCTCTGAGGCCTCTGCATCTTGTTCTCTAGAGGAAGAACCTGCAGAGCCACATGTAAACAAGCTTTAACCGTTTACATGTTAACGTGTTTGACCCGTGTGCTTTATCACTTAGTTAACATCAGTCCGTCACGTACCACTCCGATCCCTTCGAAGGCAAAGATGGCCGTCCCAAAGAAGAGAGGGTAGTCTACAGCTCTGCCCACTTTGGGCAGGTCGATGGGGTACTTGATGTTCTGCAGGGAGAGAAGAACATTAACTCTACATTCTGCAAAAACTGCATCATCACATTTGAGTCCAAGGGTTTGTTGAGTGCTCCGGCTGCTCTTCCACATCTGAACCCATCACATCTACAGTCAAGAGGTCCATTTGTAATCAGATCCGAGTATCAACACACCACTCGATTGTTGGTCAACGCATGCAAATGCCTGCTTGTAATAGAGCAATTAAATGTGATTACGGTCTTTGATAAGTTATAAAAAGAGAACTGGCATCACTGTGAAATGAAACAAGAGTGGGAGAATAAGAGCAAAATGAAAGCCGTTAAACGTCATCTGTAGCTGCCGACAGAGTTTGTCATTACAGGGAAACCTTCACTTCAGTTTGGAAGAAAGTTTTTTTTTAATTACTCTTAAAATGAAGGTCACCGTGATGAGGCTCAACACCCTAAACCACGACGTAGTCATTCAGAAATGTTTGGTGAAGGACAGGCTCGTATGGAACCGATCTAAATGCCGACGGAGTCATTTTTCTTTAGCGTTATATTGATTAATATTAATATAAAGTGTTACCCTCGTCTGCCGACACTTTAATATCTTTATACAACCCCAGCAACAAAAGCAACCAGATGTTCTGACGCTTACAGAGTTCATGGTCTCTTGCTCTGATGACTCATCAGCCACATAAACACCTTCAGGGCCACATATCTCTCTTAGTGCTCAATCTTTGAAAGATTTCTGATGCAAGAAATTGCTTTTTTTTTTTCAGGACAAGGCTGTTTCTCAGCGAAGACGACTGCTTTACATCTGTACAGGTGCAGAAGGTGCGTGATGAAATACTCTAAACAGGTCATCTGGAGACTCCGTCGCCACCGGTTGTCCTGTAATCCACAAGAACCCGATCAGCAGGGTGGAAACATTACAAACTCTCAGAGAGAGAAAAGCGGGATGCTGGTCGTACCGAACATCTCACATTGGATTACTGCTTCATCTGCATTACAGAAACATATCGCAATATTCACATATTTTAGTCCTGTACACAGTGAGTCTCTCACTTTAATAACTCATTGTTTGAAGAAACAGATCTAGAGAAATATTGTAATTAAGTCAGTCATGCTCACATCTTTGTCTTCCTCATCTTTTAGATTCATAGACATGTACATCTGTTTAAGTTTAAAAGTATTTCAGCTCAGGAATTCAGATTTGTTCCCAGTTTTTAACTATTTTAACACAGATCAGGAAAAGTATCAGAAGCAGAAAATAATCATCTCTTCTCTGTTAGTTATGGAGGAAAGTGAGAAATAATAATAATAATCTGCTGATTTATTTCTAAGTCTGATCTAAAGTGTTTTCTCTCCTGTGTTCAAGACTTTAGATCAGGTTTTAACAGAATCATCTTTAAAGTCCCGTAATCTTTCTCACCTGTAAAAAAGGAACAAAAGAAAAAGCTGCTCTGAAGTTATAAACATAATAAAAATCTGACTTCAGAAAATTAATCACCAGATGTTTGTTTTTCTCACTTGCCTCTCAGGGCTTCCGTAGTTTGTGGATATATGAAAAACAAAATAAATAAAAAGATGTACTTAACGTAAAACCTCAAGTAACACAGAGGCACACGCTGGAGCTAAAATATGCAAAACCTGGTTAAAAATATGAAACAGGTGAAATCTGTCAACTATAATCTGTCAATTATAGAGTCCTCAGACTGCTGGAGCGCATGTAGAGTGCACATGTTTGTTTACAGCTGTTTACTGTGTGCATGTAAACGTAGTCAGAGTGAGAACATGCCGAGCGGAGAAGCAGTGAATCCTGTCTGAGGTACTGAAGGTTAAAGCAGAGAGAGAGAGATAAACGTGGTGTTTCACCGTGAGCGAGTAGAAGTAGATGAGCACCAGGCTGGCCGTCATCATCAGGTTGGCAATCAGAGAGAAGGGGGCCAGGCACCGGAGGTCGGGGGTGAACACCAGCAGGACGATGAAGGGCAGGAAGCAGAGCATGTAGAGGCGGGAGTCGAAGCTCGGCACCAGGACCTGGGTCTGGTTGGTGTAGTTCATTTGGCAGTTGAAGGTGGTGGCGTTGGCGGCTTCGACCACCTGGTGAAGGAACGAATGGAGGAGGTGAGCATGGAGGAACGAGTCCGTTTATGAATGAGACAAGGACGTCTGCTGGAGACTGGTGCCTGAAGATATCTTCATGAGGGACACCTCACTTTGCTATGGAAGCCATGTCCACCCGTATGATGATGATAAATAGGATTATGGGAACTTTCTCAAGATTATAAGTCAGTATTCCAAAATACTGAAACACTGTCTTAGTATAATGACTTAATATCTCAAAATACTGAGAAACTTTCCCAAAATAATGACGTACTCATCTCTAAACAATGAGTTGGTGTCTTAAAATGAAGAGAAGCTTTCATAAGTCAGCATTTTCAGAAGGTTTCTAACTATTTTGAGGCACAAAGTCAATATTTTGAGATAAAAATTCATTATTTAAAAAAGGTTTCTCAGTATATTAACACAATATATCATCTTATTGTTTCTTTTACTGGCAGGAAATGGTTTTCCATACTGTGGCGAGTACAGGTAGGTAGGTAGGTAACTCCCAAAAGAAGTTTGATGGTTTCAATGAAGTTACTCTGTTACGTTCATGTAACAGAGGAAGAAATGAGACCAACACAGTAGACAGACATCACCACCTAGTGGTGAGAAACTGTACCGCACAAATAAAGTCTAACCAGGACCAGTCGCTCGACATCTTAACTTTATTATCTGAAGAGTTTTCTACTCACAGAAACACTACAGATTTTGCATAAATGCGTCTCATATTTAAGAAAGCAAAGATAAAGAGAGGTTTAAAATATCCATATCACATATATTCTCATGCAAGTTCCTGCAAATCCTCTAAAGCTGTTTGTGTTATCAGTGTTATCGACGATGTAGTTCTATTGTATTCTATTGAAGCTGCAGCATGTGACTCCTCTCCTGTGTGTTTGTATCTCGTGTGAGTCAACACTGGAACCTTCTCACTGTTCTGTGAGTACATGCACGAGCAGTACTCTTACATAACTGTGGGAACTGCCATGTAACCTAAGAATAACCTTCACGGGAGCACCTCAAACTGAGCCTATGACATAAATCCATAAGCAGAGAACACAGGAACGTTGTTCACACCGTTAGATCTGTGCTCAACCTCTTCATTATGTTTAGAGCGGTGTAGGTCAGAGGTCAGAAGACACAGTGGCCTGTGTTTTGCGTCATACAGCGCCACTTCTAAACAATCCAAATGATCTCTTTAAAATCGATTGAGTGTGTGTGTGTGTGTGTGTGTGTGTGTGTGTGTGTGTGTGTGTTCAGCACCTGCTTGATATTGTCACTGAGGAACACAAAGTAGACGCAGCAGAAGCCGAGCTGGGTGATGATTAGAAACAAGTTCACCGTGTGTCTGAGAGAGAAGAGGTGGGACGAAAGGGAAGAACGCTGACACGGTAAATATTGAGCCTGAACTAAATACTTCTACTGTCTTAATCGACCCAACAAGTAGTACCAAGTTACAGAAATGTGTACAGAAAATACATCTATTGTACTTCTATCTGTTCTGGAGAGGAATCCTTCAGTAGTTGCTCTCCTGAGGATCTAAGGACATCAGATGTACAGATTGTGAAGCCCTCTGAGGCAAATGTGTGATATTGGCTTTTACAAATGAAAGTTAAATTTAAAAAAAATAAGAAGTAGTCATGGTAGAGCCTCTGTAACAGTATTTATACTCTCATGAGACTGAGCTGATGCATTACGCCTTAAAAGCTAGATAATTGACTAAAACATGGACGTTACTGAATACAGTTTCATAAAATGAGTTTAAAAAACACACAACACGACATAAAAGAAACTCTGCTGTTGTTTCTAAAGGGAACTTTTAACGTTCGTCTTACTTTCCCCACTGAGAGTGTCTCCTGAGCCACGGCACGTTCTCCATCCCGTACTGCATCGCCTCGCCGTAACTCAGAGACAGACGGTCCAACCTGGACGGGGAAACCAAACTAAATAATCACATCTTTAAACTGACACTGTATTCGTGTGGTTGGATTACATGTTCCCTTTGGGGGACGAGACACAGACTGAACGAACCTCTGAACACAGATCTCATACGTTAATATTTAGATATCATGGAGCTCGTTCTCTCTCTGCACCAGTGAGCTTTACAGTCACCGTGTTCCTACAACGCATAATGGTGCTACATGCACGCATTGGAGCTTTGCAGGAACACAGTTTCAGACATTGACACACCAAGAGGCTGACGAGTAAAACCACTACAACCCTAAACCTGCAGATAAACACGACATTATGAAACCATATACTGCTAAATGAACAGAAGAAACAGTAACTGCTAATAAAGACTAGAGGTGGACTACATATTTAAAGGTTCAGTAAATGCATCCTGTTGCTCCTGCGTGTTTATGACGGAGCGAGAGGAAGTGTTGACGCTCACTGCAGTAAAGAGCAGCGTCTCGTCTCAGATGGATATCTTGACTTCTGTAGAAGCTTCGTGGTGGAAGCTCTTCATTCACACCCTCCATCTGCTTAATCCTCTTTGGCTCAGCTGGTGTGTACATCCTGTATGAACAGGGCAAAGGGCGGGAGACACGGCATAGACGGGCGGGTCGACTGTTAACGCACGCACATACACGGCTGGTGATCTGATAAAGTGTGTTGAGTCACCTCACACACCAGCAGCTGTCACTCAGATAATGGATCATATACTTTGAGGTTTATTGCCTAATTGGTTAATTTTTACATAATCTGATGGGTTTAAGAAAACATGTACTGGTGGAGCTGCTCTGGTGTGTGTGTGTGTGTGTGTGTATGTATAACCTGTATGCTGCTGTTTACACAGCAGGATAAGCGTGGAGAGAGAGAAACGCCAAAACAAAGTGTAATCTGTCACTGTTTGCACAGCCAAGCTAACAAGTGAAAACAAAACACAGAGCAGAAGCTGCACGGCGTGAAGATAATACGAGAGAAAGGAGTCACAGTGGCCCCGCTGTGAGGGGACGGAGGTAGAGACCAGAAGTTATCTTTGGAAACAAACAGCTGATCTACAGTGAGAGACAAGATGGTGTGAACCACCAGGGAGAGGGACTTTGATTAGGAGCCGCCTCTCTCTGTCCAGGAAGTAGTCGAGATCACCACCGGAGCAAGGGAAGGTGACGAGGAAAGGAGTGAACTCAATGCCTAATGCTGCATTCACATGCAAATCAGGCAGACGATATCATGGGAGTGAACACGAGCAGGACGGGCATCTTAATGACGGTTTTAACTCGTAAAGTTGTTTATTTCACTATAGAATATTAAGACAAAGCTGCATTTTACAGCTTCATCCATTACTGGAATAACTACACAAAATAACTATTTAATATATTTCATTCCAGCAACAAAGCACCATATTATCAGGAGGGTTTCGTTGTTTGTTTTTCCTGCGCTGTCCAGAAGCTGTTGTCTGTACACCGTCGACCATCGGCCTGATTCCATGTGAGCGAACATCCACATTTAGTTCCTCTCTACCTGCTGGAAGTCCGTAAACACGACAGAAATCCAGTGAAAATGAGGATTTCACGCGTTGAGACTCGCGAGGTGTCGTTACTCACTTTGCACTGAGGTGGTGGGAACATTTCACCAGCAGCGTCATACAGTGGACCGCTATGACTCCCATACACAGCAGGCTGATGGGGCCGAGCTGCAGAGAGACAGAGGAGCGAGATCAACACCGAAGATTAAAGTCACGACGTCATAATGAAACCAGGAGGACGATGAACAAAGTCCAGCATGATCACAGGTACACGTATATAGAACATACTCCATGTGGGGCATAAGGTGTGTGTGGGGCATAAGGTGTGTGTGATGCATCTGGAGGGAAGTAGGGAACAAGGAGAGAGCGAAAGAAGTGAAGTTTACATGCATCAGTCAAAGCTACTCTGAGTTCTAAAATATGAAGTTAAGATGCATGTTGTAGAATATATATTACTACTTCTGTTTCTAACCTGGCCACTACCTCTTCCGTATCTCTCTGTGTGTCACATGACGGTTCTGGTTTTGTCTGAGGAGATAGCGGCTCATAGAAGGGATAACCTATCTCTAACTGTGGCCGCAGTATTTCCCTCGCGGTGCAACATGCAAATGTTTTCCCGCCGCAACCCTGGCTCTTTAACGCTGCTGTGAACATCAGAAACCGTCTCCAGACCCGTCATGTGACCTGGTGTGATGATGTAATAACGCTGCGTACTCACCACCAGGCCTGCGTTCTTGACGGCCAGAGGAAGGCCCAGCAGCCCCGTACCGATGTTCCCCTTCAACAGGTGGATGAGAGTCTGACAGAAACTGGAGAACAGGTCGTATCTGCATTAGAGCCGGGCCAACAAGTCGTTACATATCAGACCTCATCATACTTACGAGGTGCCCTCCCGTCCTCCTATCCTCTCGTAGGAGCGATGGGGTCTGGAAGGTCCTGGAGGAGAAGGACAAAGAGCATCCATTTCCGATGGAATTGGGTCGGAAAACAAAGAACCTGCCGCGAAGGAGAGAATGCAAAAAGAGAGAAGAAGTGAGGCCCTTCAGTCGCGTGGCACCAACAGGATGTGGGACGAGTTTCTCTCACAACCAGCTTGATAAAAACACTCCACATGAGATAAACACATCCTCTCTGTTCCAGAGCGCTTTCACACCAAAGCGTAGGACTGAGACTTTAGAAGTTCATAAATCAATATTTCTTCTATTTTTATTGGCGTAAACTTCATCGACAAAAACTATATCTGTTCACAGACTTTTCCCCCCAAAACGTAAACAAGGTAATCGATAAAGAATGAACCGACAGCAAAATCTGTAACAGCATTAGAATCAATAGAATCTATTCCCATCACTAATGTGGGTGCACAGTTTAAGGTTACGGTCAACATACTAAATGCCCCTGATGTTCACTCAATGAGTGTAAGAGTGTTACTGCAGAGCAGCACTGAGAACAAATGTAAACATCAAAGATGGCGAATTATTGATTTCTGGAACAACTACTCCCAACGTGCACAGAGAAGGAAAACCAGACTGAAGAAGTCAAAAACTCCAGACGACACTTGAAGTGTTAAGAACAACATTTTTGAGATGAATATTTGACTAAAACACAACAATAAAAAGATGAACATGCGACTGAAACATTCTTCTGTCAATAGATCAGAACTACGGCTCAATCTGAATCTCCTCATGCTCTCCAGTAATGGGAAACTTAGGGATTTGTTAAATAATCTCTTTTAGTCTCACACTGATCTTATTCCTGCAGAACAAAGTCTGCTGTAAAGCAGCCGACTGTAATGAACACAGAGAACTCTTTGCTTTGGCAGAGTAAGAAGAGTCGCCGTGCTGCTACCTGCCTGTTAGTAGACAGACACACACACACACACACACACACACACACACACACACACACACACCCACCCCACCGGCTTCAGTGAGGTTTACTTTAGCATCTCGTGACTCTCACCGTCCTTCTACATGCCGAGAGGAACTGATGAAGCATGTTCTAGTGACGGGAGGTCTACTCGTAGTGTGAGAAGTGAAACTGAAGGCCGTCTTTAGAAGCCACAGCGCTCAAAGGAGCTCGTCTTTAATGCACTTCAGAGAAACTATTTACTCAAATCTGAGTGAATCACAACAGAAATTAGACACAAATCATTTCATTTATAGTCAGTCGCTCTAAGGAGAAGTGGACTGGGAGTAAATGTGTCACAGATAGTGCACCTTTATCACATCATGCTGAATATTCAACTTCCTGCTTCCTCCTAACCAACAACACACCAGCTGAGCCAAAAGAAAATGGAAGCAGCTTTGCCGAGTCAGCGTCTACCTGCCAGCTGGGATTACAAATAAGCCCACAGCATCCATGTAGCTCCTCTCTATATCACATGACACCTTAACATCAGAGTACAGCCCTGCTGATCCAAGGAGAGGCTCATAACGCTTGATATTAATCTACCTTCACCCCGGTTGTCCACGTTGCTGGAGGCCATCATGTCGGGTGGTTTGGTGGACGGCCGGGCGTCGTCTCTCCCAGCCTCACAGATCCTAATGCCGGGAGATCAGGGACTCCAGCATCGACACCTGCACGAGGCAGAACCAGAGAGACACAGCGCTCGTTAAATAACATGCTGCACTTTTACAAGTGAGGCTGTAAGCAATGATGGTTTCATGATTGATTCTGTTCTCCGTCAGCTTAACATCTCTCTGAGCGACGTGTTGGACAGTCTGTTAATCACAACACTTGACCTCGGAGCACTGAGCCACCGCGTTACATAAGAGCAGCGCAACGGAGCGACAGCTCAACCAGGTGAGAACATCGTCACGACCTGTGGACCGCTGAGAACATCGCCACGACCTGCGGTCCGCTGCTGCTAATCACACAAGGATTTGTACCGAGAAGGCGTCACTTCATTGTTCATTGCAGCGAGAACAGAAGAGTTCAGACTGTAGACATAATTTCTAGGCACCCAAATTTGCAATTGTCATACCTGCACGTCTAGTGAGACCGCTCGTCAGAGCATTTCTGTTTAATGTCAAATTAGTTCAGAACTTATGAAACTGGATCGTATTTTAAAGAGAACTTATAACACGGACACTTTAAAGGACGTTGTAGAATGTCTCCCTTAACGCGACACAGTGGAACTACACAGACAGTTTAAAAGACAAAGCCTCTCGTGTGTGAACATGAACTCCTGCAGCTCCTCTGTGGTTCAGTGAGTCTGTGACTTCCTCAGTAACCACAACGTTACTGAGAGCACTTCATGAGCTACACTGCAGGTTTCACAATGTGAGGACTAAACTGAAGCACCGCTGAGATGACAATATGACGGGGAGAGATTTATGGCATTAAGATGTTAAGATGTGGAGCATTTTTAAAGTTGCACAGGCTTTACAGCTCACTGCTACGTTAAATATTCTCACTAATCTTCATTCTTTGGAGACCTCAGATGAAAGTTTCTAAAGAGAGGAAATGAAAATGAAAGATTCACTTAATCTGGGAATCTTTTCGAAGCTTTTACGAGAAGGCCGGCTCGTGATCTACTGATGAAAATACAATTTCTAATAATTTTTGTATGTGATGAATGCTCATCAGGGCTGCGGATAAACAATTATTTTCATTATCGATTAATCTGGGAATCATTTATGCGATGATGTCAGAAACCGGTAGATTACAACCGATCAATACCTGAAAGAGTCGTAGATTCATTTGTTCTGTGGATTGACTCGTTGAGCAACTTCTGTCGATGCAGAGAACTCTGTGCTTGTAGCTTTCGGTCTAAAAGGACCTTAATGAGAGCATGCATGGTTCAGCTGGAATGACAGGTGTAAACAAACAAACACTTCATGTCCCCATCACTTTATAGTTAACAGGAGGCGGAGCCTCTACCTCCAAGGTGTGCAGCATACAGTGATTGGGACGTTTGTTTCTAAACCTGCCAGTCCAGCTCAACCATGTATACCCTGAAGGTCCTTTAGAGCCAAAATGTTCTCTGCATAGATTGAAGTGTGCAGATATCTATTCTACTAGTGTGAGCTTGTTTGATGCTTCCTGCACCTTATTTAATATAAGATTGTTTTATTAAAATGCCTCACTAATGTGCCCCAATGAACAAAGTTTAGATAGTTTGCTCTCTAGTGTTCTGTAATGAAAACAAGACATAAAGTCATTTCATAAAACATAATAAAAAGGTACAAACAGTGACGTTTACATTCAAAGGTCTTAACGTCAATAATAAATGTGTTTATTGTTTACTGATAATAAACTAACAGGGTGCGGTCAAACTAAAAAACCGTCTTCATATGTTCCTTAACGTCCATTCATCACACACACACACACACACGTAAATAATAATAGCAATGAAGGTGTGGGCTGACAATAGGAATTACGAGCGTTAAATTAGATACGTCAACAACAACACTACTCGTGAGCGTTATTAGCATGGAAACATAGCGGTGTGTTTAGCATCTTCACCATATCACAGCTAACCTAGGTTAGCCACCGTTAGCTCTTCGTTGTTCGTAAAGGTGCCATATTTGTAACCGTAAACAAGCCGAACCCATAAAGCTCGTAACGAACAACAACAACAACCTACCTCGTGCTAACGGTAAACCTCCTGCTAACGTCGCCGTTGGACCTCTTAATGTCCGCTGGTACTCATGGTGGTCGTGGTCGGGAACTAATTGAATGCTATAAACCGGACAGTCAGCTGGGCTCTTTCTGTCTGTCCGCCGAGAGCTTGGTCACGTGACCACGACCGAGAGGACATAGTAGCGTCACGTTTAACAACTTTAAAGCAGCGTCACTTTTTGGGTATCTTACAACTATATTTCTATAAAAAGCAGTATGTGTGTGTGTAAATTACTCTTAATATGTTCTGTTAGGACATTTTTATTTGCTAGTTCACCTAAGATGATCACTTCCTGTCAGCATTTATTTTGTAAGTGCCTTTTTAAAAACGTTTTGGATCTTTTATTTTGAAGTTCTTTTGGCGTAACCGGAAGCTGATGCAAACTCGTCAGAGAGCAGTAACTTGATTTAGCATAAAAAAGATAATTGACGGTGTGTATTAAAATAAGTGTTTGTAAGAAATCCGTTTGCATTGAGGGTTAAGCTCCTTGTTGGAAAGGGAACAATATATTGTGTGTTTGGTAAAGCTTACACATTTATTACAGGTCTAATTCTGGAGAAAAAACGGCGTCACTGCTGACAGGGCTTTTATCTTGAAAAACTGTAATGTAATGTATTTGGAAGCGCTTGATTTGTGCGCCAGGTGTTATGGTCCAACAAGGGACCGTGTTAACTGGCGACTTTCAGCCGAATGCGTCTGTTGTAGTTACGGCAGCTGTTGAAAGCAGGAAGACAACACGTAGCTGTCCTCGTGAGTGCCGCATTGTTTAGTTTTGCATTACAATGTCAAACCTTCTCATTTACAGTCTTTGGTCAAAACAGACCGGATTCCACGTTGGAGAGTCTTGAGGAAACGAGTCCACTGGAGTCTGAAACGTGGCTTGTTGTTTATGTTGAAACAGGAAGAGAGCTCGTTGCTCTTCCTTTGAAACAATAAAGTTGGTAAAAAAAAAAAAAAAAAAAAAAAAAAAAACGTCTTTGGAGCCTGTTTTGTGCAAACATGTGTCACGTAGAAGAACTCTGTAGCACAGTTAACAGAAGACAAATAAATCATATTTACAGGATTCAAACTCATATCATTGTGTGGATTGCGCGTTCACGACGGAGCACTCTGTACTTCAGAGCAGTTTAGAAGCTGTTTTCCGAAACAAATGGTACCTTTTTAAAATCTGACAGTTCAAAACGTCTTTGTCTCGCTGCAAAATGAATGAGGCAGATGTTTGTGATGTCGTCATGAGGTGAAAATACACAATATGGACATAAAGCATGAGAGCAAACAAGGAAAGCTAAAACATAAAATGAAGAATTTAACCAGCCAAGAACACAGAGATGTCAAACAGTTGAGTTCATTCGAGTTTAATAAGTAGAAGACAGTCACATTTAATTTGACTCATAGCATCACACTATGAAATACATGATGGGACTATTTGTGTCCAGCTTATTGACCAGGTTGAATAGTCGTCCTTAAAACTGTATATTGTGTGGAAAGCCGATGGCCTCTCTAAACCTCTCTTGGCTCGGTTTCTTCTCGAGTGTGCCCACCACGTATTACATGTGATGCTATGTGGCTCTGCAGTACACAGAGTGCCCCGTGGTAAACGTGCAGTGTGGTCACAAGTTGATCTGGTGGCCCTTTACTCTTAGGAGCGACTGATGACTGACTAAAAGGAAGGACTCAGTGAACACTTGACTTGATTTAAGAAAGCATAAC